AACGTGAGTGTTTTACAAGTAAAGGTAGAAAAATAGATATCGGGGGCTGGGAATTAAGCTCAGCGGGACAGCGCCTGCCTGGCAAGTGCAAGGTCGTGAGTTCGGTTCCTGGTACCGGAAAAAAAAAAAAAAAAAGAAAAACAGATATCAAGTGAGAGGAAGGGCATATAATGCTGATTCATGATGTTGACTGAAAAATGTAATTGATAATAATGGTCTGAATTTGTTTTGACAGGAGAGCTAGTAGCTCTGAAGAAGGTGAGACTAGACAATGAGAAAGAGGGCTTCCCAATCACAGCTATCCGTGAGATCAAAATTCTTCGTCAGTTAATCCACCGAAGTGTTGTTAACATGAAGGAAATTGTCACAGATAAACAGGATGCACTGGATTTCAAGAAAGACAAAGGTACTGGCAAAGAATCATGTTTCTACAGGTTTGACTGATACAGTTGTATTTTCTTAGCTTATTTGGTTATGTGAATTTTTATTTTCCAGTACTGGGATTTGAACCCAGGGCCTTTTCATTAAGCTACATTTACAGCTGTTTTTCTTGGATTTTTAAAAAATTTTTAGATAGGGTCTTGCTTAGTTTGCCAGGTTGGGCTCAAACTTTTGAACTTCCTTCCTGAGCCTCCCTGTATGCTGGGATTACAGGTGTGTACCACCGTGTGCACCTTCTATGTGAGATATTTAATAGGTTATACTAAAGCCATAACTTTCTCTCCATAATCCGTGCCAGAATTAATATTGACGGATTGCTTTTATGCTGAGCAGTGCTCATTTTATCAAATGTTGGTTCTTTAGTGTATTCTCCTTACCTTTAAAATTTGCTTTTGTTAGGAAGGATCTGGTATAACTTCTAATAAAGGCAGCAAATAAATAATACAGGATCTTTTTTTTTCTTTTCCTTTTTTTTGGTACTGGGACTTGAACTTAGAACCTCACGCTTGGCAGGCAGGTGCTGTGCTGCTGAGGTATATCCCTGGTACAGGATCATCTTCTAATCAACCTTCCTCAGTTTTTTAGGTTTTTTTGTTTATTTGTTTTTGCTTTTTGAGTTTTGTTCAGTCTGTTTTGTGTTTATGTGGGATACTGAGAGTCCATCCTAAGGCCTCGCTCATGGTAAGCACATACTTTCATCACTGATCTAAATTCTCAGATCCTATAGTTTAATGTGTATGTGTCAGGGGTTGGGGGCGGGGGTTGTTGGGTTGGCTTTTGTTGCTTTGAGACAGGGTCTTGCTATGTAGTTCAACTGGCCTTGTACTCACTATGTAGCCCAGGCTGCCTGGAACTCAGTATGTGGCCCAGGCTGGCCTGGAACTCACATTGATCCTCCTGCCTCAACCTCTTAAGTACTGGGATTATAGGCGTACACCCCTATGCCAGGCTTTGGTCCTTTAGGTTTTTAGAGGTTTTTTTTCTTTTTTTCTTTTTTTTAAAAACAAAGTACAAGCCAGGCATGTTGGCACATGCCTGTAATCCCAGCACCCGAGAGGCTGAGGCAAGGGGTACCATGAGTTTGAGGCCAACCTGGGCTACATAAGCAAGTTCAAGATCAGGCTGAACTACAAAGTGAGACCCTGTCTCAAAAAACAATCAAATAAAACCCCCCAAAACAAAACAAATTACAAAACAATAATGGAAATTAAAACCCAGATTAGGGAGGCTGATGCTAGAGGATGATAAGTTCGAGCCCGGCATGAGCAACTTAGTCATTTAGCAAGACCCTGTCTCCAAAAAAGAAGTGGGGCAGTACCCTCAGTGCAGAGACCCTAGGTTCAGTCCTCAGGACTGAAAATATAATACAGTACCCAGATTAATCACTTATAATTTTATACTGATACAGTTTAAAATTCAAAGAAGGTATTCCTAGAAAGTAATTTTTTTTTTTTTTTGGTTTTTTTTATGGTACTGGGAATGGAACTCACGACCTTACACTTACCAGGCAGGCGCTGTGCTGCTGAGCTAAATCCCCAGCACCCTCTAGAAAGTATTTTATTAGATCATATAGTTCAATTTCATGGAATTATAACTTCTGTTTCTATTTAAGATAGAAAATTATTCCTTGTTTTCATACTTAATTCTTAAAGTAATCTACACATGACATCATCCAATCTTCTGTAAGAAATCTTAAGGTTTAGATGTAGACAGTTGAAGATGGAGCCTATAGGCATCTGTGAATACAGTCTGGAGTTTGGGAAGGTGAAGTATGCAAAACTAAGAAGTTAATAGGTAAAGTTAAACTCAACTTGTTTGCTGAGCCTGAAGGATGGTGGCACTAGAGGAATAATAATCCTAAATTAGGTAGTTCGAAAGCAAATAAAAGAAAATTCAGGTTGTGGAACAGTAATTTAGATAAGTTAGTAAAGGTTAGATATGAACAGAATTTAGAATACTAGGTATATTTCTTGGTGTGTATAATCTTTCCGATTATAGAGTAATACATAGGTAGTTTCAGTAAGGATGCAGAAGAACATGTTTAATTGGTTGCTTTTAGAGAGAGACTTTTCCTCCATGCCATTCTGTACTATATACAGTATACATTTATTGTGTACTACTTGACTCTTTAAAAAATCACAATAGGAGCCAGGCATGGTGGCACTCATCTGTAATCCCAGCATTCTGGAGACTAAGACAGGAGGATCAGTGTGAGTTCCAGGCCAGTCTAGGCTACATAGTGAAACCTGAAACCCTGTCTGAAAAAAAGAAAAAATCATAATAAGTAAATGGATGAATGAAAATCACAACAAGTAAATGGATGAATTAATATGATGCATGGAAAATACTGTAGAAACATTGAAATTCTAGAAGAGGGAGTAAAAAAAATGGCAATTCTCTCCCATTCCATCCTTTTTTGATTGTTTTTTTGTTTTGTTTTGTTTTTTGTTACTGGGAATCGAACTCAGGACCTTGCGCTTGCCACGCAGGCATTTGTACCCCTGAGCTATATCCCTGGCCCGTCCCATTCCATCCTAATACCACCATCCGGAGAAAACCACTATACTATTAACATTTTGATGTATTTGCTTCTAGTACTTTATACACAGTATATTTATTTTAAGGTAACTGAGATCCAAGTGTATTTAGTCTTTTATAACTTGAGATAATTTCTCACATCATTAAAATATTTTTATGACATAAAGATATATGAAGTCAAATTTATTTCACCAGTCCCTGTTGAGCATTTAATTGTCAGTTTGAAAAATACAAGGCTGGTGTGCCAACACATGCCCGTAGTTCCAGTTACTCAGTAGGCTGAGGTAGGAGAATCACTGAGTCCAGGAATTTCGGCCAGTATGGGCAAAATAGCAAAACCCTGTCTAAAAAACAAGAATGAAATAGCATTTCTTGAGTCATCCTTGAACATAAATCTTTGTGTCATGAACTTAGTTTTATTTTGGTGCTAGGGATTGAACGCAGAGCTTCACACATGCTAAACATGTTCTGTACCACTAAACTATACTCCGATCTTTTTTTTTTTTTTTTTTTTTGTCTTTTTGAGACAGGGTGTTACTGTGCAGTTCAGGCTGGCCTTGAGCTCACTTTGTAGCCCAGGCTGGTCTTGAACTCACAACGATCCTCCTGCCTCAGCCTCCTGAGGGCTGGGATTACAGGCGTGCGCCACCATGCCTGGCCTATTTTTTTTTCTTTTTGAGACAGGGTCTTGCTATGCATGGCTGTCCTTGAGTTCACTTTATAGCCCAGGCAGCTGATCTTGAACTTGCAACCATCCTCCTGCCTCAGCTTCCTGAGTGCTGGGATTACAGGCATGTGCTACCATGCCTGGTTTCTGATTTATTTTCTTAATATAGCTTCTTAGACATAGAATTACTTAAAGAGGTTTTCCTATTTAATGTCATACTGCTTTTAAGAAAGATGGAAAAAAACAAGAAGAAAGATGGTACCAGTTTATGTACCATCAGTGATGCCCAGCCAACTGTATCCTCCCCAGCAATGAACATCATCTTGCACCGTATGACCGTGTGGTCAGTGATGACCAACTAGCCTAAGTGTAGAGTAGGCTGTCCTGTCTAGGTTTGTGTAAATGTGCTCTGAGTTACACAACAGTGAAATCACCTAAAAATGCATTTCTCAGACTCTAGCCCAGTAGTTATGTGTGATTGTGTATATTTTTAAAAAATTGTCACCTAGCTAAATGGGTGAAATATGGTATTACTTTGGATTGCATTCCACCTATTGCTTCTTGGTTGGTTGGTTGGTTGGTTTTATAGTTCTGGGGATTGAGCCCAGATCCTTTTCATTGGGCTACATCCACAGTCCTTTTTATTTTTTTATTTTGAGGCAGGGTCTTGCTAATTTTCCAAGTGGCCTAAGGTGGGTTCAAACTGGGCATCCTCCTGCCTCAGCCTGCCAAAGTGCTGGGATTACAGGTGTATACCATCATACTCAGGTTAGATCTAGTATTTCTTACAATATTTGACTGTCATTTGCTCTGCCCAGAATGAAAAGATAGTGTACATTTCAAATTGTTTATAACTACTCTTACAGTGTACTTCTAATTCCTTTTATCTACTTACGAATTTAGGAAGTTTAGTTAGGTAATTCACCGTTTTTTTCAGTTCTTAAATACTGTGAATTTTGCCGATCCCTAGCCCTGTTACGTGAATGCTGTTAACTGAGGTGAAGACTTTTACAAAAGTAGTCCTAAACAGTATGTAGCAAATGGACGTGATTGCCTTATGGATAAGACTTCACTTACAGTAGGCAGCAGACTGGATTTAGCCCAGGGTCTGTCATTCACCGGCTGACTTAGATCATCAAAAAACTTTTTTTTTTTTTTTTTTTTTCTTTTTTCCCCAAGAACTAACTTTGAAGAACAGGCTGACCTTGAACTAGCAACCATCCTCCTGCCTCAGCCTCCCATGCTGGGATTACAGGTGTGCCACCACACCAGGTATCAAAGGTCTTTTGATACAGCCTGATCATGATAGTTGTCCTCTCAAGAGGTAAGCAATCTAAAGAGCACTGGATTAGGAGTCTGGAAGATTGAATTCTAGTATTAGTTCTGTTATTATTTTTTTGTTAGAAAGGACAAATTACTTAACTATTCTTAGTTTTTTTATCTATGAAATTAAAGAATTATTCCAAAGAACCTTACGATCACCTCCAAAATTACATTAAAATTTGAGGTATTGTGATTTCAACATCGTTTTTTCTTATTTTTAATTTTCTCATTTTGTAGGTGCCTTTTACCTTGTATTTGAGTATATGGACCATGACTTAATGGGACTGCTCGAATCTGGTTTGGTGCACTTTTCTGAGGACCACATTAAATCATTCATGAAACAGCTAATGGAAGGACTGGATTACTGTCACAAAAAGAATTTCCTACATCGGGATATTAAGTGTTCAAACATTTTGCTGAATAACAGGTAATATATATACTAACCAAATAAGATTATATACTTCTTTCTCTTCTGAGTTTCAGCTAGCTAATTGGGAGTATCAGTAGACCTAATAAAATACCTGAGATCATACTTGTTTTAGCATTAAAAAGTCTCTTATGGAATGGATGCTCACTAGGGACCTCAGAGGTTAGTGGGGAAGCTATACAAATTAATTGTCCAATTCAGGAAACATTTATTAAGCCTAATTTTTCCCCCTGATTTTGGGAATACCAAAAAGAGATAGTCTTGAGGAACGAATAGGAATTTATCAGAAATACTGACAGTGGGGGATCAGATTGCTAGGAGGAAAAAAAAACTACATGCATGAAAGCACATAACTACAGAAAGAGCACATAATATCTGAAAAACTAAGCACATCAGTATTGCTGGAACAAGGAAAATAAGGCATATAATGGCAAGATATAAAGCAGGATGGTTGCTAGAAGCCAATTTAAGGATCTTGCAAACCCTACTAAGGAGGTTAAATTTTGTCTGTATTTGACAGGGAGCCATTGAAGGGTGCTGATCCAGTTTAATGTTAATTGTATGAGTACTGTGTTTAAACTGCAGTGGTGGTGCACGCCTGTAATCCCAGCACTCGGGAAGCTGAGGCAGGAGGATTGTTGCGAGTTTCTCATGTACTCTGTGACTCAGAGTTAGAGTTGAAGTTCTTAAATCTATATCCATAATAAATACTTCCAAGAACTTGATGGCTGTCTTTCTGCAGCTTTTTAGCTTGTAATGTTTATATACTTTTTTCTCTTCCCTTTGCTCCTTGGGAGAGGGAGCTTATAGCAAGGACTACTTGTAGCTCTACTTGGTGTCCTTTCTGGTGGGACTCCTCCCAGTCCCTGGCTTCCTGCAGTTTGGACACTTTGAGGAGGTTCAAAATTAACTCCCTCTTCAGCTTGCTAAGCAGGGAGTTGGAATCCCAGGGATTGGGATTCTTTGGCCACTTTGTCCTGTATACTCACATACTCCTGGATGAGATGGCCAGGAGAAAACTGAGAGGTGGCAACAGGAAGAAAGAGCAGTTGACGAAAGTAGAGAAGAACAGTGCTGGGCTCTGCATTGTTCATTATACTTTTATTACACAAATATGAGATTAGAGCATTTTAGATAGGGAGATATCTGTTTAGAAACAGCTCTAGCTGGGCATGGTGATACACGCCTGTAATTGTAGCACTGGGTAGGCTGAGGCGGGAGGATTGCCTTGAATTTGAGGCCAGCCTGGGCTACCTAAGCAAGTTCAAGGCGAGCCTGCACTACATGGCAAGACCTTGTCTCAAAAAACTAAAAGAAGAAAAAGAAGAAAAGGGAAAAAAAAAAAAAAAAGCTCTAATAATCACTATAGGAACACTGTAAGAGCCCTGTACATTGGTACATACCCATAACCCTAATTACTTGGCAGGCTGAGGCAGGAGGACTTCAAGTTCCAGGGCAGGCTGGGCAGCTGACTGAGACCTTGTCTCAAAATAAAAAGGACTAGGGATGAGTTTAGTGGTAGATTGTGGATTTGGTCCTTAATACCACACATACAATATATATGTGTATATATATGAATAGATAAAACGATAAGTGTTTGAACTAACACAGGCCTTGGTAATAGGAGTGGACAGGATAGGTTTGGTAGATTGGTACATGAGTAGACTTTGGTGAATGAATGAGAATGAATAAGAGAAAATATGACTTAAAAATTTCTGACCTGAGAAACTACGTAGGTGCATGGCACTCGCAGTCATTACATGAAATATGGAAGAAAGAATGGGATGGGTGGAGTGAAAAGCAGATACCTTACAGGTTCTGTTCTACATTCAGGGTTGTGATGTCTAATAGGCATTTGGTCATGTGGAAACTCCAGATTAGCAGTAGATTTTGAAGTTAAAAAATACGGAAAAGAGCTGGGAGTTGGAATATTACAGGCGTGGTAGTGCACGCCTGTAATCCCAGCACTTGGGAATCTGAGGCAGGAGGATTGTTTCGAGGTGGAGGCCATCCTGGGCTACAAAGTGCGCTCAAGGCCAGTCTGAACTGCGTAGCGAGACCGTCTCAAAAAGACAAAAAAAAAGAAAAGAAAAAGATAACAGAAATGGAACCCAAGAGAAATGATCAGAGAGATTGAAAATAAAACAAATATTATCTTTGCAAGCTAATGAAGTTTAGGTGAATGGTCATACATGTCAGATAATGCAAACAGACTATAAGATCTAAGAGGAGAGTCTGAGTAAAATGCCAGAGATGACATTAATGTAGGGTGAGGGATAAGGGAATGTGTAGCACAAATAATGGGATGGCAGTGGTAGGTATGTTTAACTTGCAGTACCTAGGATTGAACCCAGGGCCTTGTACATGGTAGGCAAGTGCTCTACCACTGAGCTACATCCCCAGTCCATTTTAAAATTTTTATTTTGAGACCAGGTTTTACTAAGTTGTCTGGGCTGCCCTCAAGCTTGCGTCCTGCCTCAGTCTCCCATGCAGCTTGAATTACAAGTGTGTACCAACAGTCCCAGCTGATCTTGTATTCAGTTCTCTAGGCAGAGCAGGAAAGATAAATTGTCTACTGATTCAGAATTGGGAATTTATGGATTAGATGTATCAGAGGGTCACAAGTGAGAGGGAACTTGAAATCAGTAATTTGGTTAATCTACCAGTGGTCCAGGCTAGTTAGAGGAGGAAGTACAGTGTGAGGGAGAGAGGAAATAGAGGTGTCAAGTACCTGATGATCTTGTCACAAGTCAGTTTAAAACCATGGTCTCAGAAAGGATTCCTTGTACTTCCCTCTATAGAGTATACGTTATTCCTATGACTCAGGACATAATAAACAACATGAAATAATTCTGTTCTATTTTATTTTATTTTATTTATTTATTTTTTTTTTGGTTTTTCTCCGGTACCCGGAACCGAACTCACGACCTTGCGCTTGCCAGGCAAACGCTTTTGCCGCTGAGCTAAATCCCCGGCCCCTGTTCTATTTTATATTGCCAACATTTGCCAACACTTCCACACTTCTTACCTCATGTGAGCATAGTTGGAAGGAGAAACAAGTAGTCAGTAAAAGTGCTAATACAACTTTCTGTGGCAGGTTAATTTCATGCTGTTAGTCCTTACTGTGAGCCAGGCAGGAAATAAGCTAGGTACTGGTGATTCTTAGGTCTGGCCTCTTTTATAACTATGTATCTGTTGCCATTTTAACTTTGTGTATCAGCATGCCCTGCTTTAAGAGTTGCTTTAATGAAGGATTTCATTGCTAGTCTTTAACTTGTTTTGATATTCTGTCCCTTTGCTCATACTTTGGGGAGCACCTCCTAGCCTAGCCTTCTCTTTCTACTGTCTCATTGTTCTGCCTTATCTGGGCTACCAGGCAGCAGGGATACCCAGCCCCCTATGAAAGAGTGAGTTGGCTTTTCATCCGAGCAAGGATATAAATATGATTAGATATGATTATTCCAAATCAGTTAATAAATGGGCTTTTGTTTGTTTGATTTTAGGGTTTTTGAGACAAGGTCTTACTCTAATTTGGGCTGGCCTTGAACTCATTTTTTGGGGGGGATTGGTGTAGGAATCGAACTCAAGACCTCACACTTAGGGCCGGTGATATAGCTCAGCGGTACAAGTGCCTGCCTGGCAAGCACAAGGTCCTGAGTTCAGTTCCTGGTACCAAGAAAAAAAAAGACCTCACACTTGCCAGGTAGGTGCTATACCACTGAGCTAAATCCCTAGCCCATCACCTTGAACTCATCATGCGGCCCAGGCTTGCCTTGACATCACAGCGATCCTCTTGTCTCAGATTCCCAAGTGCTGGGATTATAGGCATGTGCCACTATACCTGGCAATAAATAGTTTTTAAATAGTTTCCCAACATCTTGTGTTGTAGTTTCATAAATTATAATTTTTTTCTTTTTTTTTTTTTTTTGGTTTTTGGGTTTTTTTCTGATACCAGGAACCGAACTCACGACCTTGCACTTGCCAGGCAGGCGCTGTACTGCTGAGCTAAATCCCCAGCCTAGTTTCATAAATTGTTCCTTAACGTTACTGTCAAAGAGAATACTGAGGACTGGGGATGTAGTTCAGTGGTAATGTTTATTTAATATGTGCAGGGCCCTGAATTTAATCCCCAGCACTGTAAAAATGAAAAAGAAGAATGAAACCTGGTTATTATCCCTTTAAAGTAATGCTTCTCAAAGTATGAGTCTCAGATCAGCTGTACTGACATCACCTGTAGCCTCATTAGAAATGCAGATTCAGAGCAGGGGATAGTGGTACATGCCTATAATCTCAGTTACTTGGGAGGATGAGGCAAAAGGATTGCAAATTTAAGGCCAGCCTGGCAATTCAGTGAGGCCCTGTCTCAAAAGTTTTATAGGAATGCTATAGATACAGCTCAACATAGAGTACTTCCCTCGAGAGTGTGAGGCTCTGAGTTCTATAGTCAACATCACCCCCATCAAAAAAAAATCCATGAGCCCTGACTAGGTAGGTCATCATCTCTGAAAATGGGACCTAGGAACTTTTTTTTTTTTTTTTTTTTTTTT